TGTCACTGACTTATCGCTCTCTCTGCTCTGCCGAAGGGCATGTGTTTCTCACGCAGTCGTGTGTCTGCACACTAAACTAAGCAGCTCTCCTTTCTGTGCTCTCCCTCCCTCTCCTTCTCTCTCTTTTTTTCCCTCTCTTTCCTGCTCTCTCTCGGTCTCTCTCTCTCCCCTTTTCTCTCTCTCCTTCTCCCGCCTTCCTTTTGCTGGGCCACACCTGTCCCTCATTTCCCTCCCATCGCTGTGCTCTCCACCTGCCACCACCCCCGCGCTCATTTCCGTGTGGCTGCGAGCAGCAGGCTCGCTGGTGGCCCCGCCCCCCTCCGTCACTCCACAGCTCCCCCTGGTGGGCTTCGTGGCTCGCGTTCAGGAGACCAGTAAGTGGCTTTTGACTCCTTTCCATGCATGTGGTTCAGTGCCATGCCTGTCCCCATGCCTGTCCCCATGCCTATCCCCATGCCTGGCTTGTTGTTTAGCACCATTAGCGGTCAGACTCACCTCCTCCTGCGTCATACCTGTCAGTTTTTTTTTTTTTTTTTTTTTTTTTTTTTTTTTTGAAGGAAACAGTAGCTTATCAGGCATAAAGTGAGTTAGCAAAAATTATTAGTAATTCATTTACATTACTTACATTACAAGTCATTTGATATTATCAGAGTTGGGGAATTCAGGCCCAGAGAGTAGAAGTCCAGACCGGGATTTTGTTTCAACCAACCAATTGAGTACGCTGTGACTGTGACTCTTTATGTTCACCTGGTTGGTTGAAACAAAATCTTGGTCTGGACTTTTGCTCTCTGGACCTGAATTTCCCAACTCTGGATATTATTGACCCAGCCAGTTGAGAGAGCCAGTGTCTATGAACAGAATAAGCATCTATTTCTTTGTCAGTGTAAGCTTAGAAATATAATCAATGCAAGAATTAATAGAATGATGCGAGTAAGATTGTAAATTCACTTTGTAAATTAAATTACATAAATTAGTTTAGAGCCTAGGATATTTTACAAGAACTTTTAATATTAGATTTTATAAAAGGTTTATCACTAGATTAACTAATTACCTCAGTTGTTGTAAAGGCCCACCAGGCCTTAATTAGTTGTCGGTGAGTCTGCCGACTGAGTTCCCGGAGATCTGATGAGGAGCGAGTTCTGCATGCGGATCCTCGCTGTGACGTGCGAGCATGCACACGCGCCGCCAGTGCAGCATGCAAGCCGGAGGCCTTGACAAGGCCGGCCACGCTCCCTGCAACCCCCACCCCACCCCCCCGCCCGCATGGCCGTCTCCGCTCTGCAGGAACCACGTTCTCACCGGCAGCCCTAAACCAAGCGCTTGGGCGAACGCAAGTCGCCGGGGCCACACCCACATGTCAGCTTATGTCCCGCCCAGTTACAGAAGCCACGCCCCCGCCACCTCCTCCTGTCGACGAGCCAGCCTTTGAGGATTCCCCCCCACCTCCGCCACCCCCAGAAGACTACGAGGAAGACGAGTCGGCCGTGGTGGAGTACAGCGACCCCTACGCGGAGGAGGATCCCCCCTGGGCCCCCCGCAGTTATCTGGAAAAAGGTGCTCTCTCTCTCGTCCCTCTCACTCCTCCTCTCTCACTCTAATGTCACCCCATCATGGGCTCGCTGCACGGTTTGGCTCTTGCGGTGACACCCTGTCCTGTCTCCCTGGCCCTCAGTGGTGGCCATCTACGATTACACTCGAGACAAGGAGGATGAGCTCTCCTTCCAGGAGGGCGCCATCATCTACGTCATCAAGAAGAACGACGACGGCTGGTACGAGGGCGTCATGAACAGCACGACGGGGCTTTTCCCGGGCAACTATGTGGAGTCCATCATGCATTACGCTGAGTGAGCCACAGGGGGCGCCCTCGCCGTCTCCTCGCTCCATGCACCTCTGTTGTATTTGTACACGAATACATATGCATGTGAGGAGAGGGGTAGCTGGAGGGGGGCAGGATGGAAGGGAGAGGAAGTAAAATGGCAAGGACTTTGGGATCTGAACACCTTTTTTGGCATCGTTGTGTTTAAGGGGGAGGGGTATCCAAGATTAAAAATGAACAAATATAAGTGAGTTAGAATTTAAATATTTCATCAAATGCTGTTGTAATAAACACAGAAGTAACCACTATTTTATTATCTTTCCGTTTTTGAGAAAATAATTGAAGTTGAGACATTCTTGTGCTCTTTCTTTACTTTTCCTTTCTTTGCTCACATTCCGTATTCTCACCCGAGACCGTCATGGGGCGTGCCGGCCGTGTTCCGGGCTCGCCGCCGTCCCCGAGTGATGCATTGTGGGAGAGCTCTCGAAGCAGTGCTTTTTAAGTAAACCCAGGGATACGGTTCAGTCTTAAGCGGGCGTGCTGCAGTGCTCACGGTGAGTGAAGTGGGCAGGCAGCGAGTCACCCTGGGCTCACTTCACGGGGGGAGGGGGTGGGGGGTTATATTAGCACAAAGGTCGATTGACGGCGCCTGGGCCTCACCGGCCTCCCGCAGTCGGCAGAGACACTGGTGGCTGGCAGCCCTCTCTGCCGCACATATGCAAATGCTAAGTGTGTCGTAGGAACATCTTTTGACTTTCTTTTGCTTTTTTTTTTTTTCCTCCTTTTTTGGTTGCAAGCTATTGTGTAGTGAATCTAACCAAAATGCCCAGTTGAATTTTAAAAAATCTTTTTATGTAGTGCTGTATAGACTGCATGCTGTATTAAAACTGATTTTCGAATGATCATTTACATTCTCACCATAATCCTCTGCTTCCCTGGGCTTGAGTATGCAAGCGGTCTTTCTGTTATAACTCCTCAATGGCATGGATACTGCATAACAGGAGAATCTCCAGTCACATTCAGGGAGTTCTGGGCCCGTGATAGTGCCATATTGTGTGTATTTGTATGGATTTGTGTGTGGGGTGGCTTTATTATACTCAGTATCACTTTGGAGGTTGTCATCTTTGTTTAAATGGTTTGGAAGTGGTCTGTAATTGGTTTGAAACTACAACTGTAGTCAGGACATTAACGCATAACATGGCAAGTATATGGGAAATGTAGTCCTGACTATGAGAATAACATTTCCCTCCTATTATTTCCTGTAAGAAATATTCATAAATGAAGACTAGATCTCTGAAGCTGACAGCCACTGAAGGGCATATTATTGCACCCCCCTCACTTAAAAAAAAAATACTGGGTAGAGATTATCGTCAAAAGTATTTATCAAAACCAAAAGCACATTGTTTTATAGAAAAGAACTTCTGGGCAACAAAATGAAAGCTGTGTATTTGTTTCCCAGGCTCATGAACATTGCAGTTTGCAAAAAATAAAAAAATTCTATTGAAATCAGCAGGAAAACGCTCTTGGGGTAACAGCAAAAATGAGTGTTATGCACAAAGAGTATATTATAGATAGATAAATATACATGTTTAGGTGTATGAAGTGAGTTGGGTTTTGACTGTTTGCTGAGTTGTCACAGTGAGCGATTTCATCAGTGTGTCAAAAATTTTACATTTTTTCTCCCCACCTTGAGTTGATCTGTTCTTGTGACTCTTGCATGTGTTTATTTTGTGGTTTTGCACCTTCTGATCTCTGCGGCGATCAACCCGAGTGCCATCCCAAAACTGAACACTGGGGGGAGTCGGGAGCTCATGGGCAACTAGCCTTGTCTGCACAGAAATGTAACTGTGGCCCTCAGTCAGAGGGCAGGCAGGGGAACAAACATTAATGAGATGTCTATAATAAAACTATTGGGACTAAATGGGTGTCCTGGCTTTTTTTTTAACCCCTTTTCTGAGTTTTTAGTTTCAAAGTGTGTGTGTGTGTGTGTGTATGTGTGTGCGCATGCTCTTAGCTGGCTGATCCTGAGATGGACTGAGTGATTAACATAGCAGATTAACAGTTCCGATGTGACTCAATAGCTGCATGATTTACTAGTCCAAGGAGCCTGACTGATCACAGCAGGCCTGGAGGTGAGATAATAAGCTTCTAAACCTAATTATACTGTTATACTCGGTCAGATTGACCTTCCTTATCATGTACTCTTAATTTCATTTCCCTCCTGGCCTATGCATTACTCTATGCATCTATTTGGGAGTGAAATACCAATAGAAAGCTGATTTCTGTTTTCTCCCATTTTTTTCTTCATAAATTACTGTTGTTAAGTGGGCTGGGGGATCTGTGCCCAGAAGGTTGTGGGCTTGAATCCCATGGCAGGTGGTGTAATATCAGCATTATGCCACTAATTCCAGCTGCTGCAGAGCTCTGGGTGCTGGCCGCCGCTCTCAGACCCCCAAGCTTTTCTCATGTCCTCGCTGTGTTGCTTTGGACATGTGCCGAAGTGAGAAACGTTCATACAAATCAATTGTAGGACTTACATTGTGACTTCAATCAGATGGTGATCTTTAATCCATGATTTTTTTTCTGTCTTGCATAACGTCTTTCAGTTTGGGTCCCAGATGGCTGAAAAACTTGAATGTAACTTTGGGATGGAGAGACTAAGCCCAGGAGCAGCAGGCATGGGGGTGAAGCTGACTGGGTCAGATGTAATGTGCCCATGCGGTGACTAATATCACCCTTTGTCCTCTGATGGCATGCCAGGTCTATCTAAACCTACGGATCAACAGAGCCAGATAGGGCCTAATACAAAGTGCTCAAACCTGCTGTATGGAACCTACAAATGACCTCTCACGGTCATCATGGAGAGAGAGAAGGTCCATTAATGCCAGAAACGTCAGTCGGAACTCTATACCAGATAAACTGTTTAATCTGGTGGCCAGTCTGCCCCTTCGAAGCGACATGCTCCAGCTGCTTTCAGAACAGCACACGTGTGGTGGGGGGTGGATTAGGGATGCCTGGGAATGCAGGCCTGTTTGCCTGTGGATCGATACTGTTTGTGTAAGAAGGGAATCAAACAATATCCAAGGTTATGTGTTCCGGTGAGAGCGAGGGAGGTGGGCCAAGAGTGCCCAATGAGGGATATTTAAGGAAAGACGGGTGGAGGGAAAAGCTGTTTGTTTTTTTTTTCCCTCCGAGAGACATGAGGGTGGACGTGCTTCTCTGGGTGTTACTGCACGCGCTCTGCTGTGCCGGTGAGTGACGCATGCTGGGTATTAAGCAGCGTGGTCCTGCACTCATTATATTACGTTACGCTGTTTGTATTCGATCGCAAAATGAGTTTCCATTTAAAAATAGAATATAAGCTGAGGTTTTATACTCAACGGCTGCATGGGATAGGGTGGGGATGGAGGCATCACCGGCGTGTTTGGGTGCTGCAGGCTTCCCGTCGCCATGGCGTGCCACACCCTCCGCAGACCGCTGGGCCTTGGGGCGCCGGGCCCTGGGGGTGGCCCTCGACCACATCAACCAGCAGGCCCAGGGCTCCTGGCTCTACCGAGTGACCAGCAGTTCTGTCAAGGAGGTGATTCTTTGTGCTCTTGTTACCAGCCTGTATTTAAAAATCTTGTTTCATTTTTCTCATTTCGGTACCATTGGTGCAGAGTAATGCTGTAACAGAGTAATGTAGTTATATGTGTATTGATCAGATCACTGAAGTATTTACACAATGTGTTGAATATAATACCTAGATCGCCCTCTTGTGGTTTAAAATCCTTTTTTTTTTGAAGAAGAAAAATTTAAAACCTTACATAATTTTAAGTACGCATGCACACATGCACACAAAAGCAGCTATCCAAATCTGTTTAAAAGTGCCACACATTAAAAAAAATATTCTGCCTCATCACTCAGTGTCTCTTCTATGAACAGGAATATATGCATGTTTGCTATACGAACAGGTGTGACGTCTCACTCTCTTCCCCTGCAGATTATCCATAAAGGGTTAAATTCCTATGAGGTTATGCTGAAGTTTGGGATCAGGGACACCATCTGCCCCAGAACATCTGCAGTGAACCCAGAGACCTGCAGTGTTAGGCTGGATATTTCTGCGGTATGATCAGAGCACAATGCAAGTCAGAATCATGGAATTAGCAGCGTGGCTGTAAAGAGACCAGCCCCACAGCACTGAGTAAACATGAGAACGATGAGAACTTGCCTCATTTCTCCAGACTAAAAGATTAATAATTGACCAGTACAAATTTGTCATTTCCTCAGTAGGATGAAACCAATATTGTATTTTTCAAAAGGCTTATAATTATTAGAGGCTCTAATCATTTCCTGTAATATTGGCCAGTACTGCTGGTTAATCCTGTGAATGTGGCACTGGTGCCTCATGAGGACCTGAGATACTGATGTTACAGGGTTCATACATCCTGCCTGTTCAGTACAGCGGTGGGTTTTGCTGTATTTGCAGAACTCTGTTAGTGTTGGCAGCAGGAGACGAGGCTGATGGGATTCTCGTCGGTGACCTGGAGGAGGGCTTAGACAAAGCCAAAACTTCAACTGTCCAATTTCTCAACACTCAAATTCCAACTATAGTGCCAATTTTCCAGGACCAAGTCACAAAATTAAACATTTCCGGGAAGGGAATGGCGATTTTTCTGGAGCTACATTCTCTCACCTGCTCTCCCCCCAGTCCCTGGCATCCTGTTCCAGTCGCGTGCGGCTGACTGGTGACCTCACCGAGCTCGTGTCTATCAGCTGTGACATTGCAAGCAGCTCCAGCTCTGAGTCCAGCAGTGAAGAGGTAGGCAGAAGAGAAAGGCAGACCTCAGCAGGTCACCTGGGAGGGGTTAGGGTTAGGAAACCGAACCAGGTGGCTAGAGACTGCAAGGAATCAACTACAGTGGTACCTCAGAACTCCGGATCGAATTTTCCCCATAAGAAATAATGGAAAACCAATTAATTGGTTCCCGGCCTCAAAAAATTACACCTAAATGTTTTTTTTTTAGCATTTAAACACAAAATGAACCGGATAAAACAAGAAGAGCATATACTGTACTAAACACATCTAAGCACATTTATCAAAACAGTAATTTGTAAAGTAAGAAAATAAATGTATCCAAACAATGTGTCTTGCCCCGATCGTCCGCTCCTTCCGTGTGCCACGCCCCCTTATTTACCCCGTGTGATCAGCTGTTTCTGGTTGTTGTCATTAGTCCTCTGTATTTCGTCCGCGTTTGTTTTTTTTCCCCAGTCCCGTCATTGTATTGTTATTAATATTAAAATAATGAATAAGAGATCTTTATTTTTAAATGTATTTTATTATACAATAATTACTGTTACTATCATTGTCTAAATGTATTTTTACTCTCTAAATATATGTATTCAGCTAGTGTAAACATGCAAGGTGCTATCACAGCGAATGCGAAGCTGAGACTGAAGCTTTACCCTTTGTTTCCGCTGAGAGACGTGCCACGTGATTCATTTCCCCGTGCGTACAAGTTATCTTAGGTCAACGTTCACGGTTTGACTTCTGAGATTCAGATCGAGCTCTAGGTAATTTTTTTTCGAACTGATTGGTTCGACTTTTAAGAAATTCGAGTTCTAATGAGTTCGAGAACTGAGGTACCACTGTAATGTATTCATTTTGAATATGCTTTACATCATGGGACGCACTTAATCAACCTTGACTGATATGTAGAGCTTCCGTTTGGAAGTGAATGACTTTCACATTTCCCATGCAAACTGTAAAATCTCAAAATAATGTGAAAGATGCAAGTGCACGTAAACCCATCCCACCTACAGATATTCGTGACGCTGCCCCACACATATCCATGGGACCCCTATGGGAATGGAGGTAAGCAGCATTATCGTCTCGTTGCCTTGGTGATCAGCAGTGTGCCATTACACTTGTTACATAATAATTAACCAATCGTTAATAGGTCTGGCTCCGCCCATTCTGCCTCGACCCACAGCTGACTGGCGGAACACAGATAACCAACTGAACCATAATGATCTGGGACTTCAAGAGTAAAACAGTGAGGGATACAAGGTCTGATCCAGCCGTCCTGTACATCCTTATACAGGCTGCTTTTGTTGTTTCTGGGTGATGTTTTGCATACAAACCCACTGAAACTGAAAATGTTTGAGGGAGTACAGAATCTGAGAAATAAACTAATATACTGTAGCTCATGTGGTGCTCTTGAACTTCCCCTTCAAAGATATCAGGTTCTTTACCACAAAGGCTACGTTGAGCTGACAATAGTTAGTGCCATAGACTGCGGTAATAATGGCATCTGCCCCACTGATCAGTCAAAAGCATCACGTTCATCTCTACACAGTCATCGCACTCTACAGTCACACCCTAACTGTGTGGTACCTTAGCGATCAAACACATTAGCTTTAACAATACTTAGGCAGTATATTGTCACTGATGGTGGACTCCTCAGGTCTATCATGAAAGCTTGATTATCTATCATCCAAATATCCATAAAGCAATGTGTAAGCCATAAAGATCTGGTTTAACATCAGATACTTGCATATTTGGGCAAAGATCTTAGTACAACAGAAGCACAAGTCCATCAGCTCAAATAGAAATATGGAAATAGGTCTGAATAGGGGTTGTAAAATATTCCTGGTACTCTTGGTTTATTAATATATTTTGCTTACAAACCCACTTAACCATCTTTTTACTGACAAAGAGTCAAATTTACAAGTGCATAAAGGCAATGCCTGGATGGACAAAGCCAATTTAGGACTGAAAACATTTACCACCAAAATTACGCGTGACGCCATATCAGACAGCTAATGTGTATTGTCTTCAATACAACTCAGCTTGTTAGTCTGGCAGTGACTGACTGGAAGTAACAAAATAACCTCTAAACAAAACATAGGTAGTAGACAGTTACATGTTAGCGGTTCAGCCTTCCTCTAACTGCCCCAAACAGGGTGGTGTAGGTAAACTGAAGCTGACCCCAGGCAGCACCGGGCACAGACACACCCAGTCATACTCTATGGACCCAACCACGCATCTCGGAGTGGTGGGAAGGAATCTGAGTGCCTGCGGAGACCCACGTGACACAGTGACCACAGAAACTGTCCTTCATTTTTTGTTGTATAGTTATGACTGATAATTAGATGGCATTCCAGCAGCATGCTTCTCCAGGAAAATCCCAGGTCAGGCTGAGCAAACTGTCCAGGTGCTGGTACCCAGCCACCATGATCCGATGGTGGAAGAAGTTATCTAACCATTAAGACGCTCGACCTGCAGCTCTGACAACAGACACTCTCCGTCAGACCTCTAATCCACCTGCTAGTTAATCACATTGCCAGCTTGCGTGAGAGGAGGTAACATTTTCTCACTCCAGGGATAAAACAAAAAGGGGGGGGGGGCGTGTGACAAAATATGACTCACACATTGAGCTTTTTTAATTTCGAGATGTCGTCAAACGATCAGTAAAGCACAACAAAGGAGCCACAGCGACACATTGTGGTCAGATTTAAACATTTATATTGTGATCTTCAGTTTAAATGCAAGAGACATTCTGATTTTTATTTATTCAGTTATTTAGATATGCTAGATGTTCCTGAATTTAAATATCTCCCTTTGTTTCCAACATAGGATACAATATTCAATAACTTAATGTTCAGTTCACATATAGATAATTGAAGGCTTGGGGGAAAAAAAACAATGATATATTGTAATATAACCAAATTTCTCCCACAAAGGAACAAGATGCATGTAATTCAACATCAGCTACTTCTCTTGGGTTGAGTCCTTTGAACATTTCCATTTGTCATGGATTAAAAATAGTTGAAAATTGGCAGGCAGGTCCATTGAGGAATTGTAATTGCAATTGCCGTTGTAATCGTAACTTCAATCTGCTGATGGGTCCTGGGAGGGCACTTTGTGCTGCACATTTGGTGTAGTTGATGTAGTGTCGTGAGCTGATGCTTAGATGCACGGAAGGCAGTAACAGGCTGCTGTGGGGTAAATGACACTGACATCTGAACAAACTACTGCACTCAAATCATGCATCCCCAAGCCGGCAGGCGTTCTTAGGGCACGACAGCACGCTGTCAGCTTTAGTCCCTTATGCCAGTGCGGCAGAGGAAGGACGGAAGGCCTGGCCGACAGGAGCAGCGGCTGTGCGTACAGACAGACAGCACCAGGAGCAAAGCAAACAGAGCACATGAAACCCAACAGCCCCCAACGGCCCCCTCCACCCCATCAGCTCAGGAAAGTCATCTCCCAGTGCATTGGCTCTTAAGCCATCACATTTCCAGTCGTACAGTGATTGTGTTCCCAGTAGGTGAAACAGTGTGATCCTTTGTGAGAAGAGGAGGGGAAAAAAAAAAAAAAAAAAAGCAGGTTGAACTTGAACTACATGTGGGAGGAACCGCGTCAGGCCCCTGCGACTGCCACAGGGAGACCCCTGTCCCAGTTCACAGCCCATCACCTGCCACATGCTCCCCATCCAGCTCTGCAGCGCAAAAAACAGTGTGATCCTTTGTGAGAAGAGGAGGGGAAAAAAAAAAAAAAAAAAAAGCAGGTTGAACTTGAACTACATGTGGGAGGAACCGCGTCAGGCCCCTGCGACTGCCACAGGGAGACCCCTGTCCCAGTTCACAGCCCATCACCTGCCACATGCTCCCCATCCAGCTCTGCAGCGCAAAACGCAGAGCGGAGACTGCGCTACGCTCCGCTAGACTCCGCTTCTTCTCTTCAGGATTTAAAAATGCATCTCTGTAATAAAACAAGAGAGTTCACATGTATTAAATAGTTTCATATAAAAGCAAAGATGAAAGTGATGCCTCAGCCCATAGTCTAAACACACTTTTCCACAGACCCAGTCACTGTCTTCATACATGTAGGGGAATCCATGCAGTACCAGTATATTGCAGAAGTCGTCATTCTTGGTAATGGTTTGTGAAATCACCATTAATACAGAGCGGCACAAATACACAGAAAAGCCTATCGGTGGTCTGGTTTGCCTTTTTACAGGATTATAGGAATAGTTGCAATAGGAGAACACTGCACAGTCCATGGTGGGATATGATGGGGAGGAAAGTTCTAAAATATGCTCCACAGTTCTCAGTCTGGGCTTAACAGCCTCCACTGCTACCAGTCCCCAGTCAGTTTGGTGCTTTGGTCCCGTTTGGGGGGTGCAGGCGGGGGCCCCCGGCGCAACGTTGCATAGCCTGAGATGTTCCCTGAAGCACAGCTGCCCTGCTTCTGCTCCAGCAGCACTTCTGGGGGGGGCGGTGGGAGCGCCATGTCATCCATGGTGGCCATGGGCTCCAGCTGGTCCGAGATCTGGGGGGAGGGCAGGGAGCCATGCCTGCTGACAGACTTGCGCTTCAGAGTCCTGCTCAGGTCCTCCAGGAAGTTGCCTTTGGGGGAAGTGGGCGGCACCATATGCTGAGGGGGTGGGGAGGTGTGTGGGGGCTCAGGCGTGGAATTTTTGCGGCGGGACAGCATGAGCTCGGGGGGCTTCATTAGTGAGTTCTTACCCCGGGAGGTGGTCTGGGGCTGGGGGTTGACCACAGCCACCCTGGGGGACCCGTTCTGAGGGCCGGCTGGGAGCGGAGGAGGAGGTGGCAGGCGCTCTAAGTTAGGCGGGGGAGGAGGGAAGTAGTCACATTCAAGTGGTACAGATGGGAAGTCACCACCGGATTGGCTGTTCTGCCCAGCTAAGGCCTGCAGGGCTAGGGGCAGGTTGGAGAGGTTGAGCTTGCCCGGTTTGAGCAGCGCTCTGGGGCCTACAGAGGGCTCCTTGGAGGGAGGGCCAGAGGAGGACGCAGGTGAAGCAGATGCAGATGGCTGGCCGAACCTACTCACCAGACTCTCCACCTTTTTTGGCTCCTGGTGCTCAGAGGAGCCAAACTTGATACTGGTGTTGCGGTGGGGGGCCGGGGGTGGCTTCTTCGCTACGCTGCCGAATGGGGTGGACTTCAACGGCGACCCCATAGTTGGTGGGAGAGGAGGCGGCGGCGGAGGAGCTGGAGCAGGAGGAGGGGGAGGAGCTGGAGCAGGAGGAGCTGGTGCAGGAGGAGGGGGAGGTGGGAAGTCAAAATTGCCTTCTGGAGGAGGCGGGGGAAACTCAGGAGATAGCTGCTGGGGCTGCCCCCCCGGCTGCCACTTGGGCTTAGCCTTGACAGCAGGGGGCGATGGTGGCCCCATGAGCTTTGAGCAATCAGAAGTATTAGGGGCAGCCAAGGAAGACTTAGGGAACTGGCTGACTAACTGCTTCACCAGGGAGGGGGTGGAGGAAGTTCCCCCAGCTCTGGAAGAGAGGCTGTGCTGTTTAGGGAGGGTGGGTGGGGGTTTACTTGATGAGAGACTGTACTGCTTTTTCATTGGAGCAGGCGGGGGAGGAGGTGGGGGAGGAGGCGGAGGTGGCACAGGATGCTGGGCTGGTGGGAAAGAAGGCAGAGCAGATGATAGCAGGCCAGATGGTTTTGGGGCAGTCTGGGGTGGAAATCCACCGAAGAAGGTCTTAGCTGGGGGAGGGGGTGGGGTTGGTACATGCATGGGAGGTGGCAGAGGTGGCGCTGGTGCAGGAGGTGGAGGGGGTGGTGCTGGCACATGTAAAGG